TTGGGGAAGAGAACATAAGGGACTGGGTTTTGTGGATTGGGAGTGAGTGGAGGGGGACAATGACTAAAGAAATGACTTGATGGGGAAGTGTATTTATTTTGGAGTTAGGTAAAAACCTGGTACCAGTAAAACTCCCAGGAATCCACAAGGATGATCCCAGCTAATATTCCTAGCAATAGTGTAGAGGGTGTCTGAACTGCTATCTACTGTAATCAGATTGGTTACTACTCTAATTGTCATCAGAGAAACTTGATTCACTAACTGATTGGAAGCATATGCAGAGATCCACAGCCAAGTACTGGCCAAGCTCCAGGAGTCCTGTTGAACTGAGGGAGGAGAGATTGCATGAGCCAGGGGAGTCAAGGTCATGACAGGGCAATCCACAGAGACATCTGACCTGACCTCATGGGAGCTCATGGACTCTGTACTAGGACCCCAGCATGGATGTTACAGTTGTGAAGCTTAGTCTGTTTGTGGGGCTCCCAGAAGTAGGATCAGGACCTGACCCTTGTACTTTAGCTGATTGTGGAGAACCTATTCCTCATGCTGGGTTGCCTTGACCAACTTTGATGCAGGGGAAAGAGTTTGGTCCTGCCTCAACTTGGTGTGCCATGCTTTTCTGACACCCATGGAAGGCCTGGCCCTTTCTGAACAGAGATAGGAGATGGAAAGGGGTAGATGGGAGGCAGAGGGAGGAAATGGGAGGAGAAAATGCAGGGGAAACTGGTTGGTATGTAAAGTAAATGAAAAAATTAATTAATATAAAAGAAGGTGGGAAACTGATAAAGGTGAATGGTAGAACACAACTGATCTAACAGCTGAAAGGGGAAAAGGGGGATCCTTAGTGAAGGGGAAGACATAAATACAGGTGAAGGAGGAGAGGTAAAATAATAATATAGATGGCTGAAAAAGCCACTAAGAATCATCCTATTAATCATTTACCTAAAAAATTCAATGTATGCATGTATCCAAATATAGTTTTAATGAGCTTTTCTTATCTGGGCTGATAGTAACCCCTCAAAGAGGCAAAGACCACATAAACAAAATGTCTAATACCAGACAAGAGAAGTCTTTTTTTTCTTTTTGAGTTGTTGACCATGGCTGTTCAAGAGATTCCTGAAATGTAGCCCATTTCTGTTGTCCTTGGAAAACACACTGAGGTGAAAGGTAAGTCCTTACTGCCAAAGACACCATACACTTCAGAAACAGGGCCTGGAGACCATTAAGTTGGAACTGATCTCAATGGCTCCTCCCTGAAGACTAGATTACATGGTGCCATAAAGCATCGTGTAAACTTCCAAAGGAGGGAAGGCTTGGAGAGAGAACAAAGAATGGAGAAATGTGATTTAAATACAATTTTAAAAATGGTACAGTCACAATGGAAATAAGTGTTGAGGGCTGTCAGAAAGCTAGAAATAAATCAGCCATATAACTCAACTATTCCACACTTTGCCAAATAGTATCTATTACATACTTTCTCAACCCTGTTCACTGCTTCAGTAGTGGAATTCCTAGGGAGAGTTGAACAGAAGTAGGTATAGATATGGTCAAGATACTTTGTACAGATGTCTGAAAACTCAAAAAAATAAATACAAAGAATCTTTTAGAAAAGAAAGAGCCCCAGCATTGTTGGTTCTGGTGTCATACTGCTGCTTTCTGTTGTTCCCTAACACACTCCTCTCCAGGGTTGTTTTAGGTAGCTAGATGAAGTATTTGAAATAAGCAACAACAACAACAAAACTTAACTTGTTCCATATCTTACTGTCCCCTGAAAAGATGTAGGCAAAAAGGTTTTGGCCATCACATGCCTACCACCAAAGAAAAAACAAAACAAAACAAAAAATTAGACAGATCTTTAAAAATGCAAACATAACCATATATGAGTGAGTACATACCATGCTTGTTTTTCTGTGACTGGGTTACCTCACTAAGGTGGTTCCATCCATTTGCATGTGAATTTCAAGATTTCACTTTTGTTTTCACTTAGTAATACTCCATTGTGTAAATTTACCTCATTTTCTGCATCCATTCTTCTGTGGAGGGGCATCTAGGTTGCTTCCACATTCTGGCTATTGCAAACAATGCTACTATGAATATAGTCGAACATGTGTCCTTGTTGTATGAATGCGCATCCTTTGGGTATATGCCCAAGAGTGGAATTGCTGGATCTTGAGGTAGGCTGATTCCCATTTTCCTGAGAAATCGCCATACTGATTTCCAAAGTGACTGCACAAGTTTGCAGTCCCACCAACAATGGAGGAGTGCTCCCCTTTCTCCACATCCTCTCCAGCACAGACTCTCATGCGTGTTTTTTTATTTTATCCATTCTGGCCAGTGTAAGATATTAGACATAGAACAAAGGACTACCAGCCTACAATCCCCACCAGCAGAGAAACTAGGAAACAAGGAGGACCCTAAGAGAAAAAGGGGAAAGGTATAAGAACTCCTGAGCAAATTGGGAGTAGGGGAGGGAAGGAGGAAAAAGAGAAGGGGAGAAGAGGAGAGGGGTGGAGGACATGAGAGATCAGGAAGAGTGAGTCAGGGGAAGAATAGAGGAGAGCAAGAAAAGAGACACCTTAATAGAGGGATTCAGTATAGGTTTAAAGAGAAATCTGGCATTAGGAAACTGTTCAGAGATCCACAAAGATGACCCCAATTAACAACAATTAAGAATCCAGGAAGTAGTGGACAGGCCACTTTTGATGTCCTTCCCCTATAATGAGATTGATAACTACCTTAATTACCATCCTAGAGCCTTTATCCAGTAGCTGATGGAAGCAGAAGCAGGCACCCAGAGTTAAGCACTGAGCAATACTCCTGGAATCAAGTTGTATAGAGGGAGGAGGGAGGAACAAAGGAGTGAAGACCATGCTGGAGAAACATACAGAAACAGCTGACCTGACCTAGTGAGAACAGAGAACCCAGTCATAAAGCTGGGGAACCAGCATTGGACTAAACCAAACCATCTGAATGTGGGTACCAGTTATGAGGCCTGGGCAGTCTATGGGTCCTCTAACAGTGGAACCAGTATTTATCCCTAGTGCACAAATGGACTTTTAGAGCCCATTCCCTATGTGGTGATGCTATTTCACTCCAGATACGTGGAGGAAGGCCTAGGCCCTACCCCAAATGATGTGACAGACTTTGCTGATCCCTCCATGAAAGGCCTCACTATCCTTGAGGAGTGGGTAGGGGATGGGTTGGGGTTGTTGGTAGGGAGCACAGGAGGATGAGAGGGAGAGGGAAGGGGGAGAGGGATATGTAAAATGATTGCTTCTACATAAAAAACGGAGGAAAAAAGAATAAAAACTGTAAACATATTTAGAAAGCAATTTGAAAACAGTGCATTTAGCAAATAAATAAATTTGATCATGTTTACAGTATCAGTCATTAATTCCTTCCTGGTATGCAGTGGTCAAATCCAATAAAAAGAGTTAGCAGAAGTTTGCAAGGTGGGTACCCAATGGGTTTGTGTAACTGGGACTTATTTCCAGAAGAACAAGTACCAACTTCCAAATGTCAGTGAACAATGAGAAGGTTCTAAACAAAATACAAATGCAGCTGGGTGAAATGCTAGTTAAGAACTATCACACATGGAAAGCCTAGAGTACCTTAGGTAGAAGCTGTCTCTAGTCGTGAAGACAAGAGACATGAGTTGATCATGTTATCTACAAAAACTGTTCTTGCTGAAGAGATAGATTAGAGAAGCATATGGTCTTGAAGTCAGAGGTTCCTGCCTGATACTGGTCAATTATTAAGTCAAAGTTTATACCCAGTTACTGTGTGTTGGTCATAAGACCTCATTTTATTTCTCCATTAAGTTTTCAGTAGGAGCAAGATCTCTGCTAAGTCAGAGATCTAAAGTGAAAACAAGAACCCCAGAAGATTCCTAAAGAGCTGCTGACTTTCAGGCTACAATGGAATCCCATTGTCCTGAAAAAATCTCTTGCCTTTGAAGAGACTGAACTTTCTCCAGACCTTGCAATAAGGTTAATAATACACATCAAGATCATTTAAGCTATTAAGATAATTTGCCATCCTACTGTGTACTTGGTCTATTTAAGTTTAACCTGCCTTTAAGAGAATAATAGAACCAACCTTACAATGCCTTGAATTCCCATACAATCAGATTTTACAACCTGAGATAAATGTATAGCATTAATCTTAAACTATGTACTCTCTCATGCCCCTGAACCAGAATAATGTATGATGTATGTCGTAATAATTTTCTGAAAACAGCCAACAGGATGAGTAAGCAAAATGAACAGCCCACGAATGTTGGAAACAATATGTGGATTCAGGATGATAACATCTGATCATGGGGTCAAATGCTCTTCTGGGTAAGGAGGGAGTCAGTAAAGTAACCTTTCCCACTGTAAAACTCTGTTAAATTTTCCAGAGAAAATAATTCCTCATTTCTGTCCCACAGCATGTTTTCTGCCCTTTGTTAGAGACAGAAAATAAGGGCAGACAAAGGTCACACTTGGGCAACAAAGAACACACAGGTGCAACAGACAGGCAACAGGTAGGAAATATAGACAGGCACAATAGAAAGGCACACAACAAATAGATACAAAAGACGGACAATACAAACAGGTAGCACAGACATTAGGGACAGTCAGATGGAATACAGGGAAAGAAGTAGATAATTAAAATTTTTGGTTAATTCTTGGTTAGCTATTCCAAGAGGGTCTCTCTCTCTCTCTCTCTCTCTCTCTCTCTCTCTCTCTCTCTCTCTCTCTCTCTCTCTCTCACTCACTCACTCTCTCTCTCTCATTACTCAATGTGACATTGATGAATGTTACTTCCTTGTGTAGTTGACACATATTGGCACTCTTCTGAGGTGTATTTAATGCATAATTAATGTACTGCTGGATAAATGAACTTGCAAGCAAGAGTGAGGTCAAACTTGGGGGGGGTTGCCAGAAGTCGGCATAGCTCAGATTTAGGGGAGGGCGATGTTGTTGAAAATAATGTGATAAAAAAATCCCCCACAGGAATAACCAATGGTTTGTGATTTATTTGATTCCATATGCAGTCAAGTTGATAACAAAGATTGGCTATCACACATGGGATATACAGAGTTAACCCTTAGATAAATATTCAGAAAGATTCCACACCCTTCTTATGTCCCTGATACTTTGTCATCCTTTGCTCTAATTTTCCCAAAAAGAGGAAATAAAGATGAGCTGAAAAGATTTGGTGATGGGGCAAGTAAGATGGCTCTGTGGATAAAGATTGGAGCTAACAGAAGTTTCTGAGCAGGAGACACCCAGCTAACATGGAAGAAAAAATTGACAGAGGTCTTGAACATAGGGTCAACTTGACAGGACCTTCTCTGCAGGTATGGATGGATTCAGCCCTCAACCCATTGCAGTACAGAAGAGCACAGTCTAGGCAACTAAATCTTAAACTATATGATGTAGAAAGTCCCAATATCCTTTCTGAATATATTACTGTGTTTACCCTAAGAGGATGTGGTAAAACGCCTACTCAACAACCATAATAGATATAGAGTCTTTGAGGAGAACAGCTAGTGTTGCTCCATTTAGGGACAGTCCTTTCTTTTCCTAAGACAATTGACTGTCTGGAGTGGGGGGCTCTCCAGATTCTGGGCTCTGAACCATAAGACAGTTACATCCACATGAGGGTGCTGGCATGGGGCACCTTCAGTACCATATTTTTACCAGAGAAAATCCTGACTCCTATATGCAGGATCGAAGGAGTCCAATGTCAGAGGCATGAGAGAACCTGTGACAAAATGGAGAGAAACTGTACTAGATCACAGATCTCAAAGGGTACTCCAGTACCAGTGATGATGGCCACATCCCATAAGTAATCAAAACCATATTAATTTAAAAAGTCAGGGGTATGTAGCTTTTATTGGTTTGACTTTAGCACCAGGCCTGACTCTCAGAAGTTAACTAAGCAATTTTGTGCAATAACAATCCATAGCCTGAAAATCCTGAAAAGCTAATCGGAGAAAAGCATCAACCAATTAAACTCTGGTTACCGTCATTAAATTTGTATTTTCTTTTTCCCAATATTACCACCATTATGGAGATCTGTGAAAGATGTGGCAGCATTCTCCACTTGCAAGTTATCTTAGTTCTGGAGATCGTGGCAGTGGATATAGACCTGTAGAACAGACACCAAGAAGAGCTTATCAGTCCTAGCAATATAAATATCAGCATTTTATGCACCTTCTACAAGACTGTGAGCAGAGGACTAGTTGGCATCTGCACAACTGAGTTTGGGGACCCCATATTTTCTGTGATGGTTCTATTGTGTCTCTACCTTCCAATCCTGGTCATATATCAAACAACCCTGGAAAGATAAATATAGAACAAAGGTAATCATGTATCTCCTAAAGACATTTGGAAATGTGAGAACCATGGACAGTTTCTTCCTGGAAGTCATAATACTTAGGAATGAAGTTCTGGACTATTTTCCAGGTCTTAAACTCCATGAAAACAAATATACTAAGTTATATAAAATACAGCAGGAAGTACATGGAGTAACCATGTATCTGATCAAAAAAGTGGTGGAAAAAGTCCTCAAAGGGCCAGGAAGCTCACCTTGCTATCTTCTGAGCCATCCTTACTAGAACTGTTGAAACAAGTTCCCAAACCAAAAACACAACAAAGGTCCCAGAGAACTGCAACTGTGAACTTGAACAGATGTGTTTAATGTGTGTGTGTGTGTGTGTGTGTGTGTGTGTGTGTGTGTGTGTGTGTGTGTGTGTGTGTGGTTTGAGTCCATGTGAGTGCAGGTGCTTGTGGAGGTTGGAGAGGGTATCAGATGTCCTGGACTGGAATTACAACTGATTTTGAGTGGTCTCAGGTAACAAACCAAGGTCTTCTGTAAGAGCAGTATATACTCTTAATTGCTGAGCTTTCTGTCCAGCGCCTTTTTTTCATTGTTAAGAGATAGAATGTATCTACGATGCTGAGGTTGGCTTTGAACTCCTGCTCTTGCTTAGGGCTCTCAATTGGCTAGGGTTTAAGGTATAGTCAAAGCTCGTGGCTCTATACAGAGGATTTTGAGTCTTCCAAAGACAAAATAAATAGTAAATGTCAGTGTATTTGCCAATAACCTCGGTCTGGTAGTTGCAAATTGTAGACAAGTGTTGAAATGTAACACACATTCCATTAATAGGTATAATTATTCTTGTCAATTAAAAATTACTGCTATAACAGTTTATGGGAGAGCTTATGAAATAGCTCAGTAGTTTAGTAATTAGGGAGCAAGGTACATTATTTTTTGATTTGTTATCAACCTAAGGAAGCAAGGCCAGTGTCTTGATTTTTGCCTGATGAGAAAAATTGAAAGGGCAGCTGAGGCCTCAGGAAGTGTGTTTGTTATATCTTTATAGAGGACAATGATTACAGATGTTAAATTTAGGTTTGAGATCATTTTTGGAAAGAAGTAACTTGGAGAATTGATCCTGCCTTTTTAGTAGATAAAGGAAGCAGAAACTAGAACAAGGCATAGTTTTGTTTATCATGAGAAGTTTATAAGATTAGTCAGTAATCTGTATTTTTAAATTATTAATAGCTTATAATTTAAGTAAAATTTTAATTACTAAGTTGTATAGATTATAAAGTAAATTTATTCTTATCAGTTTATTTTAATCTAAATTATCATATTATATATTTATATGTCATTTGTAATATATGTTATATAACTATACATCACATGTATTATGCATGTATGAAATAATACAATAATTTTAGAAATATCCAAACAGTTGTTTAAATAATCATTAGGCTGTATTTCTTAATTATCATTAAGAGCTTATGATTTCAGTAAAGTTATTGTTACTAGTTTATAAGTTAGTTGTCTTATAAACCTGGAACTTCATGTTTATTTATTCTTTATCTCTGCTAAATTTAGCCTGAAAAACAATAATGAAGTTATTTTAATATGGAATTGAAAGCTCTTAACCAGAATACAATATATAAGGAGATTGGCAATTATGAATCATTTATAATGTATCATGAGATAAATCAGATGCAGTTAAGAGACAAAAACTGCTGTTTTATGGGTGAAGAAGGGGGAAAGGTGTATTTCAAACTATTATGGAGATAACAGGATTACACAGAGGATATGTGAACTCAGGTATTAATAACAAGATAAATAGACAGCTGAAAAAATATGCGCCTAGTGTTAGGACAACAGATTTTTAGAGTTAAATGAAAACTATACAAAGCAAGTGGCAGCAGTGTGCACTTTAAGGCTGACCGGCTGAGGGGGAGGGGTGTAGGAGAATGGCAAACTGCCAAGATCAGAGCATGCCAGTGAAAGAAAGTGATATAGCAGGGGGGCAAGGAGGGGAGTAGAGACACAGACAGTGGGCACAGAAGAGTACCTCAGACAGAGATGCAAAGAGTTAACGAGTATAAAGCAAGATTAACCCAATTGTCTTGGACTTATCCAATCGCACTGGAAAATCATGCAGGGTATTTAACAAACCATGGACCTGGTACCTTGTCTCCCATGATTTCGTTTCCGATGGGCTAACCAGAATTCCTCACTTCATTTATGCCTCCGTGGATTTTTGTAATCAAACCAAAAGCGCAGGTAGCCTCATACACATGAGTAAAGGGAGGGAGAGACAGAATTTTAGCATAATGATAGGAGAAACAGTTGAAGAAATAGTGTATGAAAGTTGGGGAATCCCTATTTGAATTTGCAAATCAGCATGTGGAGTTTGGCAGCCTGTGGGTGAAGATGCTGTCCTTCTGTCAGTGAGCAGCAAAACCACCTTTGAGATTTTAAATAAGGTTGCTTGCTCAAGCTCTGAGCTAAAGAACAAGTTAACCCTTTAGCTCCCAGTGAGTCATAGCAAAGAAAGCCTTTGAAACAAGCAGTGATCTGAACTGCCAGCCCTTACCTGGGATAGTGTGGACAACTTTATTGACCTTTGTTTAGCTTTTCAGGCAGTCTTATTGAATGATTAGTTAGATGTGACAAGGAATGTCGGTTAGGACTGTAGTGTATTGCTGTTTTTTGGTTTTGTTAGACAACTCTCCCATTGAAATAGCAGCCTCCAACACAGGAGGGTTGTGACCATTAATGGCAGCTGATATCTGCTGGCTCCATATTGCTGTCTAGTGAACCTAGGCTCAATTGTTAGTGCTCCTCTGTCTTTAAGCTTCTAAGGGACTTTTCAGGAATCCTTTTTCAAGTGTTCTTGTTCTGTAGGCATCAACAAGAATTTAAAGAAGATAAAGGCAGAATCTGCTATTGCTATTGGGGTTAGGGTACAAAGTGAGTTAGAATCCAATGGAGAGCATGCTCCATAAATTTTCAGCTTTCCCACCATCAAGAATTTTGTTCTCAGATCCTCAGTGAAACAAGAACTGAGATCTGCTAGACATTGCTGGTAAAGGAGGGGAATGGGCTTGTGATTTTGATTGAATTTGAGTTTGACTCCCTGGAATACAATACACAGTTCAGTAGGAATGTTTACACTTTCATACTGGCTATGTGCCTTAGTCTGTAATCCTGGGTCTAAGATTACCTACACTTTCTATTAAGCAAATTAATAAATGTATATTCTGGCAGATTCAACAAATTTTGATGACACAGAATTAAGAGGCAAAACTAGGATTGTCCAATGATGACATTTTGTCAAGGACCATGAGAAATACAACAAGATAATTAATATTCAACAGGCTGGCCTACCACATGAGTGATAGGGAACTCCACCTTGCAAAGTTGTAGAGTCACTGGCTATGGAAATCAGTTGCTCCTTTCTGTAACTTCTCTCATGAGTAACTTCATCTCTTCCCTAAGAATAGCTTTGGGTGTTTCCCACAGCTTGTATGTATGTCTCATGAACTTCTATCTGTGGGAAGTCAGGAGGAGGGCTTATCATTTGGCTATATGATAATGATATATAGAATATTCACTGGGTGTCTTGAATTCTCTAAAAGCCCCCAAGGAAGGAAATTCCTTCTCATTCAGGCATCGGTGGGAACAAGCACGCAGGCAATGGAAGTGCTAGCCTCTGGATTTTTAGCCATAGTGTTTTCCTTTGATTTAGCCACTGTAGATGTAATCTGAGGAGCTGAGAGGTCCCCTTTAATCAGCTGTTTGGTGAAAATGCTAATGCAAATCAAAGAACACCCATTTTCCTCCTGCAGAGAATGCCAGTTGCCATGGTTGTCACATTGTATTCCCAGCTGCTGTGGAAGCAGAAGTGTTCAGAGAATACACAAATTCTCTTCCATTTTCCTGCATTTATCAATCATAAACTTCTAGCTTAACTAGGCACACAAATGCAGTTTTACATACAAGCTCCCCATTTCCCCTCTTAGAAATTATAGCCCCTTCTTCTGTTGACCCTTTTTCAGATATGACTGGGCAGCTGCTGCACAGCCACGCCCCCTCTGAGACATAAAGTAAGATAACAGATGCCCACTTTGTCAGCCTTATCCATCTTCTTGACCCTGAGGAATGCAGCCCTATAACCTTGATATTGCCAGAGAATTGCTAATTGTGTCTGTGTAGTATATAAACTGGAAATATTGTAGGATGAGTGAGATTTTTTGGAAGTATAAAGAGACATGATGATAAGAAAACACACGTGAATTGTCTCATTCTCTTTAACCTCAGACCTTAGTCCTTCTGCTTATTGTAGTGACTCTTTTGAACCCTGAGTCCTTAAAAGCCTCCTTTACTTGGTGCCTGAACTTGGTACTTAGGGGATCAAAAGGGTAGATTTGCAAGCATACCCAGGGAAAGAGGTATATGTTGTCAGTGACTGTCCCAAGAGACCAAGTCCTCCAAGAGGTACAAACAGGAGACCTCATTAGTAATCAGCTACAATTAAGACCTTACCAAGGACACTGAAGACGCTGGGGATACCAGCCTCCTCATACTGAATGGTGAGTAGAAAATTTCCCAACCCTGCCAGAGGGTACCCCATAAGGTCCCTTCTAGAACCCTTCCAGAGACACTTCTGAATCCACAGCTTTTCAGAGAGTCCTTTCCTGTAGAACCTACTGGTTTAAAGGACATGAATGCTTTGTTAAAGATGAATGATTTTTCCTCCCAAGCATCTTTTAGTGCTCTCTTTATGTAACTTTTCTTCTTGCTACAGATCAAACAAATCTACAGTGCAATATTCAGTTGTTCAGATAAACAACTCAAGAGATGATATTGATAAATCAGGCATGGAAATCTTAACCTGGAAGGGCAAATCTGTGCCTCAGACTCAAGGACTATAGATAATGTCAAGCATTGGAGATTGAACTTGATATCACTATTACTGCTCCCTTGAGCTATGTGGAGTAATAGTTTGCTGGGCTCTTGTCTGACTCATGAGAGAATCTGACATGAGTTGAACAGGCTGAGCCCTATACAAAGAAGGATTGATTCACTTGACCTGAGTGCAGAGTACATGGACTACATTAGGGACTGATCTGAGAAGCCCAGCACATCCCTAGGAACCTGAGCTCAAGCTTTCAGTGGATTTTGTCTTCCTGAGCCACTTAGGTGAATACATTACAACCTATGGGTACCTAGGAGAGTCTTCAGAGATCTAGAGTATCCCTTGGAGAACTAGAAAACTGGTCAGCTTTTCTCTACCAAGGCCTCTAGGAAGAGGACCAGTCTGGCTGCTGCCTGGGGTGGGAGAGGGTGGAGTTCATCTCTGGATCCCAACCACAATAAGACAGTTAGTAACCCTCTCCTACCCTGAGACAGACCTCTAGAGACTATAAACCACAGGGTCTGGAGGGCCAGGATGAGGATGGGGCCATGAACCATGTAGACCTTTGTACACTGGGGCAACCATCACCAGTAAGCCAGAGGGATCTCCTCCAGAAATCTCACTAACTGGTTAGGCTGAGTGTGTCTATGACAACCAGGGTCTGCTGTGCCAGTTGACAGCACCTTGGGAGCAGGATGCAGGTCTAGGAGCATGTGCAGGAAGCAGCCCCTCAGTCGGCAGAGCTTGAAGAACAGGTATGTGCCCTTCAGTCAGGCAATGGGCAGTGGAGAAAAGGTAATGTGGTAACCTGGAGAGAGAGTGAGAAGGACCACTCTGTGAAGAATGTCTGAGCAGACTCCAGCCTAGTGTTAGCATTTTGTTAATTGCAGGTGTGCTTGCTACAATAACTTTAGTTTTTACTGTCATGTTCCAACATTAGCAATCTTGGTTCTGAATCTCACCAGCCAGTGACAGTATTTCATTCAACTGGGTCTTCTGAGCAGAGACCACATACTAAAAAGACAGGTGCACAGCATAAGGGCAGTGTCCACTGCTGCACAGGATGCTGCTGATCTTCCTTGAGCTCCCTCCTCCCCCTCCCTACTCCTCTCCTATTATTTCTCTCTCCCCTCTACTCCTTCCCCTCCAAACCCCCAACTTCATGCTCTCTCTTCTATCCTCCTCTTGCCAATTCTCTTTCACCTATTTCCTTTGAGCTATGCACTACCATTATGTTAGCTATCCAGGGATATGCTAGGCTATGGGTTCCAGGTAATGATGCAAAACAGACTTCCCTTCACTGGGCTGCATGTTGCACGGGTGTGAAGGGCCACTGAGTCCTTAGCTGTCATTGTATCTTTGGACATTACCATTACTCCCAGTAATTCAACATCTGAGAATTGCAAAATAATGTTGTATCAATTTGTCCTTTCTTTCTGAAGATAGGTTACTGATATGGAGTTGAAGGCTGGGCCCACAATAGATGTGTACTCTAACATGTAGTTATATTAGCATTACTGTCTTATATTTTGGGAAATACAGTCAGGCTATAAAGAAGGAAAGTTGTTTCCCTTATCCTGTCACCAAGGATAAGACTTTCACTCACTAAGGTATTCATAAACAGTTACTGAGCATGGTAATGCAGCAGAACTGTATCTGAACCACACTCCAGTTGAAGAGTAAGATCCATTGTCCATTTTAGGAACAATAAAAGGGAAAATAATGCTAGCATCATATATTTTGAGTACCTTGTGGTGATGGGAACACAGCACAAAAACAGCAATGATTTAAGGAGAACAGGACACCAGGTACAGCAGGGAGATTCTGGGCGGAGCTATGAGACCAAGATGTCTAATGTTCTATCCTTTGCTTTGAGGTGTGAGAAAGGCATCAGAATGACTTATGTGGAAGTCTTAGGGTTTCTATTGATGCAAGAAAACAACATGACTGAAGAGCAAATTGGGGAGCAAAGGGTTTACTCAGCTTATACTTCCAAACTGTTGTTCATCACTGAAGGAAGTCAGGACAGGAAATCGAAGGAGCAGGAACCTAGAGGCAAGAGCTGATGCAGAGGCCATGGAGGGGGTGCTTCCCATGGCTTTTTCACCCTGCTGTCTTACAGAACCTAGGACCTCCAGCTCAAAGATGGCTCCACCCACAATGAGCTGAACCATCCCCCAATGATCACTAATTGAGAAAATGCTTTACAACTGGATCTTATGGGAACATTCTCCCAACTGAGGCTCCTTCCTCTCTGATGACGCTAACTTGTGTCAAATTGACACAAAGCACACCCAGTACAACAGGGGACTACCAAAGTTTTGAATTGTGTCTTGGAAAAGTTAACTCCAATAGCAAACTGTATGGTCTTTATTTGAAGATGGAGAAAGAGACCAAAGAAGCCAATGGAGAGACATTGTGCATAGAGCATGTCCTGGAGATGTGAAGGGGGCTCAGATAAACTTAATAACCCCGGGCCAAAATCTATGAGGAGTAAGAATTAAAGTGATTATATTTAAAGTAAGAATTATCAGAACCTTTATGGAAGGAATTAGCAATCTTAAGGACTGTCTAGAGGGCTTAAATGCATTTCAAGAACAGCAGTGAATTATAAAATCTATGTCTATCTTCATGGTGCAATTTCCATCTATGAATTATTCCTAAGCAAGGAACACAATGAAACCTGTAACCAAATACTTATATACAGGAAGGGTGAGTTCAACATTATTAATAATGACCGAAAATAGGAATTCATGCAAATGCCACAGAAGAGCACACCATGGTTTATCCATCATAAGCAATCTGATGGAAATCTTCAAAATCATGTTACTCAACAGCAGAACGTGGCACAAAGTTAATACCCAGTAAAGGTAACTTTTATTATTATTAAAACATAAGGATAATAATTTATTCAAATTGTATGTTTCTGAAACATCTAGAAACACAGGAAAATCTGTTTAAGATTTAAGTCATAGTATACTGAATTCTTCAAAGTATATTTTTATTATTATTTAAATATATCTTAATGATATTCTTTCCCTTACCTCAAGTATTCTCAGATGCTCTCCACCTCTCTATCTGCTCAATTTCTTGTTATTTTCTCTCTAAAATAATACAAAAACAAAAGCAAACAAATAGATCATTAAGACAAAAACACTGAAATAATATAGAAAAAGCATACAAAGAACATGAAGCTCATTCTGTGTTGGGCAATAAATCTTGGGTATGGGGTTTTCCCTAAATGTGGTTGATATGTTCACTGTCACTCCCTTGAAGAAAACTGATTTTCCCTTTGCCAGCAGTTATCAATTATAAAAACTTCATTTTATTGCAGCTCCTTTAACAAAATAATAATAGTACATTTTCCCTTAGACTCAAGACCTATGTAATCTCAGATTCTTGGCCACTTTCATCATGCCAGATATGGGTTCCATCTCATGGAGTAGGCCTTACGTCCTACCAGGATAGTTGATTGCTTCCAAAACATTCACATCACTACAGCACCAGTAAATCTTACAGGCAGATTTCTATTATATGCCATATAGTTTATAATTAGATGATATTGGCAATTACCTTTCTCCTCTGGTAGCATTCAACATACCTTCCAGAATAATGAAGGCTAATCAGTAGGGGTGAGGCTTCTAGTTAGGCACCAGCATAACTTTTCTGATTTAATGACATAAGAAAGAGCTGTCTTCACTAATAGGTTTACTATTAGGTTGTAGAGAGGAACCAATAGCTTTGACAATGGCCTATGATGTTTCAGGGAGGTGGAAGGTCTGTAAAAATTCCTTGGTCAATGATTCAACAAAATATAGCTAATTATTAATACTGAAAGTTTTGCTCTGTGCCATAATATGTCTAGTGGAGGCATTGTCTCCCCCATTACCTGGTAACTCTATTTAAATTCCTTTCTTATATGTGGATATTTTATGAAACTTCTACTGTAATAGGTTCCACATGACTTTTCAAAAGGTCTACAATGTTAGTTGCCCTCCTCCCCAATGGTCTCCTTTAACATGTCTTCCTATACCCTTCTTCATTTAATCAGGTAGGCCTTGTTGTACTGTCCATGTACCAACTACCTATGCCCATTCTCCACTGTTCTTACTGCTTGATTTTAGAATTAGTTCCATGATTCTCAAGAAGTCTGCCCTTCTTGTTATGACTCAATTTTGATGCAGTCTGTGATTAACTTGAAAAGAAATGACCTTACAATACTCAACATTTTCATCAAGGAGCAAGATTATACTCTGAAGATAAACCTTTATGTTAAAAAGCCAAGTAGCTTATTCACAAGGCAAGTTATGTTTATATAACATTCTATGTTGTTAATTTCTAGAGTATTTTCTATAAAATCAGAGTTATAAATGGAAGTTTGTGTGGTCTCTAAATGATGGTCACTCATATAGCAAGAAAGCCTATGGACTTTATAAGCTGCTTTTGTATTCAGTCACTTACTTTTCATGTTAGTTCAATGACTGCTTAGCTGATTCTTTCAAGTTGCTCTGTTGATTGAATGGCATTTTACCAGGCATTTGTATCTGAATATCCAGAATCTGTGAACTATTATAAATGATAAAAGGATAAGTAGGGGTCTGCCCTTGCTTCTGACTCAAATATTTTGCCTTAAGTATGAAGAATATTGTAATTTTTAAAGCAATTACAGACTGAGGAAGCTTCCTTCCAATATTAAAGGAAGAATATTTGCTATACTTACTAAGAAACAAGGACTAGGATTATGATGCTAATATATTAAAAAATACCTTATGAACAAGTCTTTAACCAGGGGCAATTGTTATGCTGATGAATTTTAAAAAGTTAGAGAACAAGAAAGGAAAAATAAAATGATAGCCTTAATGCAATGGATAATATTCCAACGTAAATTAATAATTTTGGGGAGCTGGCAAGATAGTTCAATGGTTATGGGAGTGTACTGCTCTCACAGAAGACTCAACTTTAGTTCCCAGCACCCACATTGGTTTTATACCAATGGTCTTTAATTCTATCTCTTCAGGTCTCTGAGGGCACTGAACTCACATCCAGAAATCCACATGCATATAGACACATGTAGTTGTTTTTTTAACTTAAAAATTATTGAGAGATAGAATCAAAATTCAGCAAAACATAAGTATTCTTGGCATCATGAGCTTTTGGTGTGAGCTGGGTGTTTGTCTTTGTGTTTTGAGTATTTTAATGGCATGCTGTGCTGTATAGAATAACAAAAAGTTAATTAAATGAGAGGGAAACATTCTGAGATGACTTCAGGCTCTATGTTGGAGAGAAACTGCTGAAAAGAAGATATTGTAGAGGATCAAGTTTCAGGGAAATAAATTTGGTTGGAGATTGTTGAATTTGAGGTTTCTATAGAACACCCAAGAAGAAATAATATACCTGAATTTAGGCCCAAAAAAGAAAGAACTAGACATATAGAGTTCTGGATAGCTATGGGTTTACAGAGTGCATAATACAGGTCATATACAGTAATAATATGAAGGGGACAGGCAAACACTACCCTGGTGACGGTCTTAGCATGAGCAGCCATGTGCAGACCAAGAAGAAAGAAAACATAATAGAATGTGGGAAGTTTCAGACACAAATGAGAACATAGTGAACTACAGAATTGTTTGAAAGGAGGTTACTTTTGTCTTTTGTATAAGAAGTTTCAAGAAACCATAAAGGTGACAAACAAATAGATGGGTGATTTGGGGCTATTGATGGGTGTATGTGTATATAAAGATAGGTATGGATGTATGTGTATAGATAAATAGAATGATGAACAGATACTGTTTTCTGAGAAACCACATAAGAATGTTAGGGTTATATCTCTGTAGATAGAAATTCAAAGAGAATTCTCTCAATGGAAGTTTCATAAGGCAAGAGTGGTCCTGTGTCCTTGATTCCAAAGAAGGTCATCAAGTGGGACTATGTGAATTTGTGAGGAAAAGCATCTCAGTCTGTAAAATAAGGCTTAAAGTCTTTGAATTCTATGTCACACAACAAAGACACCTGAAGTAATGTCACCGAGGATTTGTTTGGGATCTTCTGATAATATCAGAGATAGGGTAAGGTACTCATGGTGTAGAAGCAACTCCATGGTGGTGTCTGTCTGACAAGGACACAAGCCTGTGAAAAGAATTATCATCTACCTATCCTCAAAGAGGTCACAGCTCCACCCATGAGAGCCAGCCAGTGTTTTGATCCAGCCCAGCTGCCAGAGAACAGGCCCAGGTGCTAGCCCCACAGGTTTTGGTTTGAGTCTCAGTCACTGTGGTATGTTTTCGGCGGCGGAACCCAGCTCACTGTCGTAGGTAAGTGGCTTTAATGCTCCTTTCCATTCAGACCAGGCCTTGTTGTCTTAAAAGGGTCTGTTTTTCCTCTCTGGGAACTTCTTCTATTCTACCCTTCTCAGACTTAAGGACTGAATGCTTACCCTTCTCCATGATGGCTAGGGGAGATGGGTCATTTTGGAGTAACCTGAAGCTGGTCTCAGAGTCTAATAAATATGTTGTGATCTCATGGGCTTTAGTTAGGGTCTGTCCAGAGTCAAAGGCTTAATCCTTGTTCTCAGACAGATTCATCATCGGCGACCATGGACAGGGTCAAAGAAAGGGCACTAGGACTTTGTCAGAACCCACAATATCTTTATAGGTTGCCAAGAGTTGAATCTAGAGATTTACAAAGCTTCTGAGGATTTAGATTACCTAAAGTGGGCACCACAGAGGCATAGTGAAGGAGTAGACTTGTAGTAGTTTTCAGTTTTCTGATCTTCTGCTGGGCTACTGAAGTCCTATAGACATAGAGGCAGCACTGACTAGTAAGGTAACCAGATCCTGGTCATCTCAGGGTTATCTGGCATTCTGTTGACAAATTTTAACCCTGGGTGTCTTGTGTTTCTATTTTCAGCTTTTTTAAATAGCATATTAAAATTTGGAGATCAGGAATGAGGGACAAACTGGGGGTTTCACAATACTAACTGAATGTCAGGGAAGGAGTCTGCTTCTGTGAGCAAGTGGCTGCTATGCTCTTCCATTCAAGGAAAGGAACTTCTGAAACATGACCAGGATAAAGGGTATAGTGGTCAGGTCAAAATGAGCAGGAGGCACTAGAGTTCAGGAGTAGCCTTAAATCATCTCTGGATGGAACACACTACTCAGTGGGAAAGCTTAGTGGGTTGATGTGGAAACCCTGCTGTCCAAGATAACTGGAGGCTCAGTGTCCCAGGTACTGGGAACAAAGAAGAGGCTTCCTCACTTAATGAAAATGCAATCTTCAAAGCAAGGTGGAATGTAACCTATTCACCAGAGAGCTGGCCTGGGGAAGGTGATCAGATATTGGACAAATTTCAAGTTAGATTATAGAAAATAGAGTGGGCAGAGCATAGTCATACCTTCTAATAGCATGGTAATGGAGGCAGAAAGAAAGAGTCCAGGCCATGTAACTTGGGAGAGTGTCCTGGAAAAGGCTATTAAGAAGACTGTACTCATTGAGGGTCAAGGGGGGAAGACAAGGAGCAAAAGTTCAACATGGGTAAGATGACCAAAATGAAGAGTCACTGAACTCTTGATATTTTTTGTCTCCTGAAATCCATCTCTGTCTCTTATTCACACAGGTGGGCCCAAGTCCACTCCCAAAGTCACAGTGTTTCCGCCTTCACCTGAGGAGCTCCAGACAAACAAAGCCACACTTGTGTGTCTGGCCAATGACTTCTACCCGGGTGCTGCAACAGTGACCTGGAAGGCAAATGGAGAAACTATCACCAATGGGGTGATGACTACAAAGCCCATCAAAGAAGGTCAAAAGTACATAGCCAGCAGCTACCTACGTTTGACAGCAGACCAGTGGAGATCCCACAACCGTGTCACCTGCCAAGTTTCACATGAAGGGGACACTGTGGAGAAGAGTTTGTCCCCTGCAGAATGTCTCTAGGAGCCCAGCCTTTTCCTTAGGCTGGGAATCTTGGAGCTAGGGGGCCCGGAATGTGGTCTTTTCTCTATACTAGTAATCTCAAACTTTCTCTCTTACCCACTGAGTATTCAATAAAGTATCATTAATCAGAAGTACTGCCTTGTCTCATTTGTTCTCATTATATATTTAATTTCTAATCCTTTGAATCTATAAAGTGGTGAGGTGGGATCAGGCTCCCAGGGAGAAATTAGGTCACCTTTGAAATGGTCAGAGTGTATTGCCCTAAGAGTGGCATTTCCCCTGCCCTGCACTGTTCTCTGAGGCCCACAATGTAGGAACACTCATTTAGAATGCAACTCAGGTAAGATGTCATGCTTTAGGCTAAACAATTAATATTATATAACAATTCCACAAATGTGTGGATTCTTGCAATGAACTTAGAGAATTTTATTATATAATTCAAAACATTATTTATGGTCCTCTATAATGGGGCATGTAGAAGGATAATCACTTGAGCAAAATAACTGGATCGAATGAGAAATGGATCCAAACTGATCTCAGAAGGGGTGCAAAATAATTGCTCATAGGAAGTGGTTTCAGACTACTCAAGGTCATGTGATGGGTCGTCAAGGAAGACTGTGAGTGACCTGAGAGCTAAACTCAAGCCAGTTGCTTGGGTGGACTTATGTATAACACACATCCACTTTATTGGCCCAAGTCCTCTCATGTTCATCAGCACACCAGTATGTACCTCAGTTTAGTGTCAACCACAGTATTTGGCATTGACAGTCAGCCTTCAGTGGTCCAGGCTCTGTCTAAGTCATTAAGTATTTAGTGTTAAAGGCTTGGAGATTCTATACCTCATGAGCATTATGGGCACTGACTACATCCAAAAGTCTGGTGGATCAAACAGTCTAGTAGCATAGTCTGCAAAACTAGAAATATTTAGGCAGAGTGACAGGTGACAAAATAGAGCTTGCTCTCAGGCTACCAAATCTCCAGTTTCTGAGCTAAGAAGGATCTTTGAATTTATGCCACATGGCAGTTTTCTGATGCTAAGGTATGATAAAGTCTGTGCTCAATAATTGAAAGTGAAAATCCTGGGTACCCTCACAGCAATGTTCCTTGCTGTGACAGTGCTAACACTCATCTATACTCAGGTATATTGTTCAGAGACTTACTTCCTCGTCCTCTTGTTTCAAGTTTTCACTGAAAAATTTGAACACAAAAAATAGGAAACACAAAAATAGTAATGTTTCCATATTCCCATCAAGCAGCCTCTAGCACTCATTTCACCTGGATTTTGATTCAGCTATAACTATAGCATAAAATTCCTCCCTTATGTCATGCTAAGAAAGCACATTCCAGAAGTCATATCTTGTCGGCTGTGACTATATTTCTGGGTTTACAAAACGAATGCCTAGAAAAAATATCAAGTTTCAAAAGAAGTTGTTGATTACTTCCTCATAACAGGAAATAGTCAAGTTATCATCAAATGACTACACGAAATGGCCCTACAATGTTCAGTAATTTGTTGTTGGTAATGATTCTGCCACATGTAGGAAGAGGAGATGTGGAGGGTTGTGTGTGTTCTCCACCTGATGTCTTTTGCAGGGTCTCAGACCTTTCTCTCTTTGTTCTTGGCAAGAGCTGCAGAGACTGAGTTAATGGTTCCAATATTTTGTATAGACTCCATGTAGCTAGTAGCTTCCTTGAGCTGTCATCAAGGACTCCTCTCTTATGCTGTAAAGAGTTTCTGTCAAAGAGAGGATGAAAGTTTAATGGATGATTTTCTGGCAAGGCTGGCTCAGAGGACATGTGGGATCCTAGGAAGAAGAATCTTTTAGAGAGGTCATCACATACCCAGAATTATCAGGGAATGCATTCACCACAGCTGAAACTGCAAAAAAAGCTACATGTAGGGTTTTTGCATGAGCCTATATCACAGTGTTGGGTGTTCGGTGGAGGCACCAAAGTGACAGTCCTAGGTAAGTGACTCCTTCTTCTGTTATTGCAATCTCCTATGTTTGAGATGATTTTTGTTGGATTATTTGTCATTCTCTATTCTATTTCATGCTTCAGCTTCACTCTAGGTAAATAAACTCTTGCTTCTCTAGATTATGTGTTTCACCTCAGATGATTTCTTGTTGCTTTTGATGTCTAATCTCAAAGACAGAGGGATGAAAGAGATTAACTATCAATGTCTGTCTGTCATTCTGTTTGAATACACAGCTTTCTGATAGGTACTCCATTGTGTCATTTTCTATGGCTGTCTATCTTTCTGGTGAACTTTGTGAGGGGTAAAGTGAATTACTATCTCATGGGGAAGGAAGACCAGAGGCATAGAGGTAGAGACAACTGTTGAATTAGGAGAATGTGGGACATTCAGCATTGAGGCTGGTAAATAACATGTCAGAGGTCAGGAAACTGGATAGTGGAACTTGGAACTCCATTCCTAGGACAGGCAGGGGATATAAAGGATCCCCAAGCTCCCATGGAAAGCCATGAACAGAGCAGTAACCAATCTAGAACTCAGGAATTTTAGTAAAGAGAAGAAAGGGAAGGGATCTTTGGACATAGGAAATCAAGAGAAGAGAGACTGAAAATGTGGTTGGGAAGCTGGGTTCCTCAGTCTCTTTAAGGTACTGCTGGGAAAACAGAGCAACTGCATTCTCAGAAATCTGGTCCTGATGCATGAAAATGACACCTTGGCCAGAGCAGGCAATCTCACCTCATTCTGCAGAATGAGAAACAGTTCAAGCAGATACATGCTTTGCTGAGCAGAAACCACAAACCCAGGAAGCACAGGTTTGGGCAAAAACAAGTTCCTAGGTTTAATGGTTAGTCTCAGCAGAGATTTTACATCATAATGGTTCTCATAGTGGAGCAGAGAAACTGTAGACATATATAAAAACCAGAGAAAAGGATACAAGGGCAGGAAAGGGAAGGTCAGGTGTCTGTGTTGAAGGTCATAGTGCAGGGAGGTTTCAATTGAAGTGTTGCATAACTGTGGGATGCATAATTATTAGACACACAGGGAGTATATGGAAGAAAGGTGTGCCCCATTTTCTGTACTCTTGTCTGTTCCAACACAGCCACTAAACTCAGGACACTTTACATACTATCTGCGGGACTGCTATAGGGAGACCAAGATTCTGACCTCTTTCTTCACCCTGCAGGTCAGCCCAGTGCTGCACCTTCAGTCACCCTGTTTCCACCGTCCTCTGAGGAGCTCAAGACCAACCAGGCCACACTGGTGTGTATGATCAAGGAATTTTATCCAAGTGATGTGAAAGTGACCTGGGAGTCAGATGGTATACCTATTACCCAGGGTGTGAAGACCACTCAGCCTTCCAAAAGGGACAACAAGTACTTGGCTACCAGCTTCCTGACCATGACAGCAGAAGCGTGGAAATCTCGAAACAGTATCAGCTGCCAGGTCACTCATGGAGGGACAACTGTGGAGAAGAGTTTGTCCCCTGCAGCATGTTTCTAGGCCATTCAACATTCATTTTAGGCAGAGAGGCTGGGATTAGAATCATGCAAAAGTATACCTTTACTACTCTTGCCTACCAAATTCATTCTCCCTGCTCCTGAAATGCACAATAAAATATTCATTCTCAACCTGTATTTCTACTCTACCTCATTTATTTTAGAGCATATTTCACTGGGATTCATCATGTGTGTGGATGTCCTATCACCCTGTAGTTTGCAGGCAGGGTTCTACCCTGCACCATCACTCTAAGGAGTATCGGCTCCTCACAGACACAGTTTCCCAGCTTTCATCTGAATTTCTGCTCACATGGAATTGCACAGTGTGTCACAGATTCCTTAATTCCACACTTTAATAGACATCATCATGTGTCACCTCCAATTCTAACAATCTATTAGTGCCTAGTCAACTTTTCTTAGAATTACAATTTGGAGATTGGGACAGTTCTATTATATGTGATCTCAGTTTCTATTATTCAAGTCACAATGAATACATAGAATTGGGAAATTGGAAGTTTATTACAGTCAATGAAAACAAGTTAAATCAGGATAAAACTAAAATGTATGTGGGGGTTCATGAATTGCACGTGGTTGGGAAGTTGTATGATTGCAGTCAGCCTTGATGGGAATATGAACTAAGGCAAACAAGGGCATTCAGTGCTAGATGTGAGAAACCATGACAAGTTTCCATTTCAGAACTAGACTCTGGAGTTTGTCATACAACATCAGGACTGATGGGTTCAGGCATGACTAAATGGCTGGGTATCCTACAGATCTCATTCCTTCTCTGGCTCAAGGCATAATACTTCAAGGAGCACTTGTATTCTGAGGTTACCACGGGTCCCTACTAAAGGACTAGGTCAACCCCCTAGCAATGCAGACCTTGTTCAACACCATTATTCTATAGTTCCCAGGAATTAGAGCACATGACAAACTTCCATACAAGTTTCTTGTTGAGGAATCAGCCCTGTGACAGAGCCTGAAGAATTAGGGAATATTCAAAGCAATGATATGAACAGAAATAAGACAACACTACTGAATATTAGCCACACTACTTCCAACCTTAGTCTCTGCATTATAAGGACTTTCAGGAGATTATGTTGTAAGCAACAGACTTTAGTCCATGGTCTAGAAATCTGTGACTCAAAGTTGAAGGCACAGAATTGTCTCATGGGTTCTTCGGGGTTCAGTGCCAGCTCCAAACCCCTCCTCCAGCTACTGTCCAGAGGAACACTTCTTCATCATCTTGTCAAAACATTTTTGTTGTTTCTGCTTTTTAGACAGGATCTCTCTACATAGCCCTGGCTGCTCTGAAACTCATTACATATACCAGGCCTCAAACTCACAGAGTTCTGCCTGCCTCTTTCACCAACATGTTTGGATCACAGGTGAGCACTATCATGGTCTGCTTATTGTCGTTTAATTACTGAGAACAATGAGCTAAAAACTCCAGGAACAAAGGTTTAGATAGTAAAGTTCTATTCCCATCAACTAGTGACTACATAATTTTTGCAATATTGGTTAATGAATCCAGGTCCTTGCTAGGCATATATCCTACTGCTGAACTACCTCCCAAAACCTTTTATTCTGATGGTTAGTTTTTTATTTTTTACTGGTGCATATTCATTGTACATAATGATGGGTTTCACAAAAATATTTTCATTCAAAGTCATCATTTACATTGACTATATACACCACCTTACGTCTCATGTTTTTCCAAATTCCTGAATACAACATCCTTTTGTTCTCTGTAGCTGAATAATTCTCCATTTTGTGTAGAAAACACGTTTACTTTATCTCTTCAATTATGCCTGAGCTAATCCTACAGTCTGGCCAGCCATTGTGATTAGTCCTTCATAAACAAGGATATGCAGCATCTCAGTAGTCCTCTGTCTGTGTACATAATAGTCCCTAAAGACTCCACATGAAAAGTGTCAGTACTGTAAGCACTGTCAACCACATACTAGGACACAAAGTAATCATACAAAAATCACTAGCTTTCCTATTCACCAAAAGTGCACAAGATTAGCAAGGAATCAGGAAAATAATTCTATTCTTAATAGCATCAAAAAAGTAAAATAATTCCTAGGAGTAAACCTAACAATGATAGGAGCTAGTGACGGGGAATGTTGAGAGAAGAATCTGTCCTGATATGACAGATCGCCCCAGAGACTGTAGGCAGAACCAATCCCAGACAAACATAAACCTTGATATAAGGAAACTTCTGGGATCGAAGTCCAGGGCATGCCAAGAATTCTCAATAATGCAGCACAGGAATCACACAGGCTGCATTCAGTAAGGGTCCTAGCACTGAGAGAAGAAAGCAAACAAGATCTACCACATCTCACAGAAAAAAAGCCATCTTGACAACTTGCAAAGAAAAAAATTGATTTTCCCCAATGGAGTCTCACAGGGCCTGGGGGAGGGGGCAGTCTATAAACCACTCTGAATGCTTGGTCCCATGCTCATTAGTAGATGGCCAACACAAAACAAACTCAGTAGTGATTTTCAGGCTATTTTGTCTCATATTGCTTTGGATATTCTTTGACAGGTCTTTTGCTTGTGTGTTTTGGTTTCTGGTGGTGTATTTTTATGGTTTTATGTGTGTCGTGCTTTTTAATTGATTGCTTAAAAAATTCCAGTTTTTTTACTTGCCCATTTGTTTTCTAAAGAGAGAGGAAAGACAGAGCTTAAAGATGGGTGGGTGTGGAGATAAGGAGGATCTGGGAGGACATGGGGGAGGGGAAACTGTGATCAGAATATGTTATATGTATTCAAAAAAAGCAAAGAAAATTAAGTCAGGCTAGGGATAGAGCATGAGTAAAGTTGTTAAAGATTGGAGCCTGGATATGGTCAGCCTATGTGAGTGTAAGACTTGAAAAACAATCAGTTTTGAAATGGCCCCAAGGTAGTGCTCAGGAACTCTGATTGATTAATAGATGCTGTTTCAAAATTGAATTCAGGACTAAACTCAAGTCATGCAAGGCCAAAGCAGGGTGTGTGATTTGAGACCATCAGCAAGACCAGGTGTTCAGGAAGTCTCAGCTGGGCCACATGCTTCTCCACAAGCCCATGTCCTTTCATGTGTAAGTTCATCTGGTGTGGTCATCAGACTGATATTAGACAGAATCATTAACATTGCTCTATCTTCCTTGGTCTAGTACTTATCCAGCTTGGTTAGTCTATCGTGCTCAGATCAGTTCACAAGGGATATGGCAAATGCCTGCACCAGAGCTCCTTGTCAACCTTTCAACTTGGTGACATACTCTGAAAAATCAAGAAATATACTCAATAATGGAACAGAGTGACAGGGAAGGAAAAAGCAAGGCTTGATCCTGGCCATAACAATCCAACTCCCTGCCTCTGAGACATAAGAAACTTTGTAAGCTTGTATCTCACAGTATTTATCTGATTATAGTTTACAGAAATACATTTTGTGGCTCAAACTTGGAAGTGATTACTTCTGCTAGACAAGATATTGAACCTAAGCTGCTTATGATGCTACGTCAGTGTGTTCTAGGCTATCAGAACACTGCTATCATAGCAGTATCTCTGCTAAGGGCAAGGCCAGTATCCACTGAATTCCATCTGCTACCCAGAGACAAGACTCATCATTTTGTTGTATAGTTTTATTACAGAGAATACTGAACATCAAGTACAGAGGCATGTCAATGCTCCCTTTGATTAGTCAATAAATACTTTATTAAATTATTTCAATTGACCTTTGACAGCAAAACCCACTGCTTACATTATATTCTTAAGTGGATCTTGACCAGTTGTCTTTATGTGTACATATTCCACCACAGTTATGCATTGATAGTAATTAAAATGTCCACCAAAAATCAATTCTAACAGAAATTATGGACAATCTTTCACATCATAATGGAGTAATGCTGTCATCACATACCTGTAAATATCATAGACTCACAGTGTTTAGCATGCTGGCATTATCCCTTCTTATTTCTTTTTCTGTATACATCAGAAAGGTGGATTCTGTTTCTTAATCTATTCAACTAACCTGTGTCTTTTGTCTGGAGAGTTGAAAACACGAATATTACAATTAATATTAAAAGGTGTTTGTTGATTGCCCTCATATTTTTTAATGTTTATGTTCTTAGTTTTATTTTGTGTTTCACTGAGCAATTTCTCTTCTCAGTTTCAGTAATTACATCTTCATTTCTTTATATGTACGAAATTGAAAGATAGCTTAATAGTCATGTTCTATTAGTGTGTTCTAAGCGCTTGAAAACTGTGGGATCCACAGGTGAGTCTGGTTCTAGTCCAATCAGAAAGTGTAGGAGGAGAGCTGTTGACCCTAAGATCCACTTGTTCCTCTTGCTGTGCAATATCTTCCTAAGATGTTGGTGGTAGAAACTTGCTATTTATGACTTCATGAAAAGTTGCTCTTCTGCCCAGAGATTAAAAAGGATCAGTTAACTTTCAAAAAGATTAATTACAAGGACTGGAATCATTTTCAAGGAAAGGCCTCCAGTACCACTCATATTGAGTGAGATCAACATGCTCTCAGGAAGATAGTTACATTTAGGCATGCCCATAGCACAATTGCAATCAAAAGCTTCTGCATCTATGACTTTGTGCAAAGCTCACCCATTTTTATTTTTAGATGAACCTGTGTCACAGTATTGATTGTTTGGCAGAGAGACCAGGCTGGCCACCTTAAGTCAGTATCTCTTATCCTTGTTTTCCTAAATGCTCAAAAGTATTTCTGCTTTGTTGTTCTTTTTTTGTTATGCATAGATATGGTGGGTGGTATGTAAGGAAGGCCAATGCATAGTCTCAGGAAGTTATATGCAGATATCTAGGCCAAGAAATCTTGAGTACATAACGAACAATTAAAGGAAATTTAGCCTACATTCCATGTCATGAATTTGTCAACCCAGAGTTACAAATAAACCTTTTTTTACACATTGAGGTCAGGAGTCACAAGCATACCTCTGACCCTTGACCATGGTCATATTATTGGTCAGCTAAAAGAGATACCTCTATCACTTTGTCCCTAGTATCTTTTGAGGAACTCCAAGTCAACAAGATTATTGTATGTGTCAGATCAGTGAATTCTACTCAAGTATCATGACTGTGCCCTGTAAGGCAGACGGTACTTTTGTCACACAGAATCA